CTGTAACGTCCTTTGAAGAGATGTGACAACGAGCAAGATGGAAAGATGTTATAGCAAGCGCTAAACACACCTGCATCTGAAGGCTGAGCAGCTGTTCTGCTATCTTCCACCTAGGATTTACATGGGCAGCTTTGGTGAATAAAAGGCATCACATGCTATGCAGGTTGTTTTTAATTTTTTTTTCTACTGAGGAATTTTATAACACTTCAAGTCCGTTCTGGTGCCCCAACCTATCAGTTGTAGATAGGCAGCACTAGTCACCTTTTAATAAGGCATAGCCTTATTAAAGTTTAATGGAAGCCATTTCCATACTACTAGAGTAAAATCTTTGCTAGTTTTAAAATGACTAGTTCAAGTCTGTAGGAAAAAAATCAAGAATGAGATTAAGTCCTCTTAATTTGGTTGATTTGATCAGAGTGCATGGTTTGGTTTTGGTTTTTTTTTCTATTTTGTGCATCAATGATTTTCCATGGAAAAAAAAAAAACACCCAAGGAAAATTAGTTGCTTTTGGCAACAGGCTGTATTGAAACACTCTCAGAGGAGGACAGAATACAGTACCAGGATTTACGGAGTGCTTATAGGCTTGAATGTAATGGGTGTTGGTTTAGAAGCATCTTGTCGGCAGCCCCTAAGGTTGGCACAGCGCACAGTAAAGCTACACAGCAACTCGTGGGTGTTAACCATCCTGCAGAGCTGCTTGTGGAGCTAATGGCTTGAGGTTAGACTCTTCCCTCCCCACCTCAAAAAAAACCTAAAACACTGCAAGAACTGTGGTGTTTAAACATGCTGTGTTTGAGACTGCATCAGCTAGGATGATGGTATGGATGAAGGTTTCAAAAGACGGCTCTCCAAATAGAGAACCTCCAGGCACCTCAATGATTAAACACTGTGTGCTGAATTTTAAAATACTGTTAGTAGACTGCCTTAACTACCCAGCTTCAACCTCTGAAGAGGTTTGCACTAAAGTATCACAGTGCTTAAAGGAATAATAAATTTATGAACTTTAAATATTTAGAAATTCTGTATTCAAAATGAGAAATTTAATTCCAGAAATAATTTAATATTGTACAAGATTCTCTGCTCATATCACTTGAGAACATCTGTTTAGGATGATCTCCTTTAACAGTTTAAGCAGTGTTTTCTTTTTGTATTCAAGATGAATGAGTTTCTAGTACATAAAAATAATGTTCAAGCACCCTGTAAATACTTTTATAAATTAACCATGTGCCTTTGTTCCTACTGTCCTCTATTTGATCTTTTTAATTTTGGCTACTAAGAACTCCAGGCGAGCACCTAGGTTTCAAAGGTAATGTTGTATGTTTCAAAGCAATAAGCAGGATCTGTGTTCCAGCAGAGTTACCAAATCTATTAAAAAATTGTGAGCTAATGTGATGTTAAATCTGACTTTTCCAAAGATACGGTTGGATTGAAAGCTTCATAGTGACTACATCCAGCTTCCTGTGTAATTGCTAGTATGCTGTAAAATGCTGTTCAGCGCTGAACCCGATTTACTTCTGGTATGTCTCAATTCAGCGGCATAAAAACATTTAGCTCTTAAGGCTGCTTTCCATTTTCAGCTATGTATGCTTAAAACTAGCATTTTTTCACAGAAGGAATGAATTAGTTCTCTTTAAATCTGGACTGAATCCAAGAATGCTGCGTAGTCTGTGCAAAATGTGGTAAACTGAGAAAATTTTCCAAGTGGGTCACTGACAAGAATGATCTGCGTATGAGAAAAAGTTTCTCGTTAATGGTATTTCTAGATTAAGGAGATTTTCTAGTCTGTATTCACACTAACATATTTATTGGTTTTCATGCGAGGATGTATAGCTTAAAAGTGCTAAAATGATGTCAAAGACGTTAAAATGTGAAAATGTGTTTTCACTGTTACATTTTGTATTTCAAAGCAGAGGAAATAATAAGGGTTGAAGTGACAAAAAACTGTGTAAAGTCCATTCCTCCAAGCCTTTGGAACAAGTTTCAGTGACTCAGTCTGAACTTCAGATTTGTTTAGCTTTCTCAGCAATTAACATCTGTGCAATAAAAAGGAATTTGAGAGTAAGCTTGGCTGCGTTTGCGTGTTTTAGTTTGCTGAAATGGACTGAGATAAGGTGGGGGGTTTTGGTGGAAGTTTAGGTGAGGTATTTGAAGTTTACTTAGGCACTTTGGATTAGATTGAAGTCTAACTCATATTAATCTAGTAAAATTCCATCGATAAGTTCTGATGGAATTTCAGTAATTCAAAATCATGGTGCTGACAACCTTGCTTGTATCTCGCTTTTAACTTGCTAAGTCCAAAGCTTACACTGTTATGCATGTAGTGAGATGATTGAGTTGCAACACTGTGCTATGACCAGACCTAATTGAGTTTTGATCATCCTGAACTTTTTGAATAGTTGGTGCCTGAGCTCTATTACAATTCAGAGGATGGTGCCCACTGCAGCAAGGTGCTGTAGGAGTACATGCTGCAAAGCCTGGGATTTTGCGTCCAAATTATGACTGCATTATGATCTGCTTTAAAGCCAACAAAACCTAGCTCCTTTTTTTTTCTTTTTTTTTTTTTTGTTTTCTCCCTAATAGGTCAATAGTCAGTGTATTTTGGCCAAAAATGGGGAGCTTGAAATACAATTCCTGTGGGGAGAATCAACTTAAGTCTTTCTTCTACGAGACTTAGAATCATCAGGCTACCTCCAGTTTTAAACTGTGTGGTTGCTGAAAGAAATTCAATGTTTGTTGGACCAGACAGTAGACTGTGCCTGGATACAAGATGCTGATACCCTAGATCCTGAGAGAAAGAGCTATCATGTGAGTGCTCTGTCTTGTGTAGCAGAATCTGGCAGGGCTTTTTTTGTTGTTTGTTTTTTGTGGGGTTTTTGTTGGGGGTTTTTTGTTTGCTTGGTTGATTTTTTTTTTTTTTTTTATTTTTTTTTTAATTTTAAATTAGCCCTTTAGTGCCTTGCAGCTTGGCTCGGAGAAGGAGGGAGAGGGGAGAGGCTTTTCAGGTTCAGTTCTTTGTATTTTTTTGTAAATTGTATTTATTGCTAGGAACTTGATTTTACTTTCTGCACTGCATCCTCATGAAATCTGCAACTGATAGAGTGAGCTGATGCCATTGGGCTGCAGCATACAGTGTCGTGTGGGGTTTATGTGGCTCTTATTGCTATGCTGGGTGTTCCTGTCATTGGAAAAAGTAAAGGTCGATGTCCTGCTTGTAATCAGGAGTTCTGTTTGTAATTGTGGCAAACTCAGCAAAAGGCCTGCGTTAGGCTTGTGACTTTGAACTAGTTTTACCTTTTCTGTGGGCAGGGTAAATATGTACAGGTGGAAAAGTTCACCATGAAGTTCAAACTCAGAGGTCAGCAGATGCGTTGGTTACATCAGTCACATAAGGGGTTTTTTTCTGTAATTTATTTTCTTGGTGTTGGGGATGCAAAGTTCCAGAAGGAAAGGTGGCCTGGCTATGTTGTTGAAGGATGTGGAAATACTCTTCATGTGGGCTAATTATATGAGATCACCTTTGCCTAATAGCAGCTAACAGCATGCTGTGCCTGAAGTAATTCTGTCCAGGAAAAAAGCAGGTACCATGTATCAGAAGACTAAAATGGGTGGATTGAAAATTAGAACAAAGAGCTGGTCACTTGAGACCAGTAATGGATGTAAACAAACATTTTTCAAACAGTTTATGGGAAAGCCAAGGTTAGATGTTCTTTGTCAAATCAAAATGATTATTTGAAATGTTTTTGAAATTGGAAGTTATATCCTGCTGTGGCTGTGACATTGATTCAATAGCAACTGACAGCAATCACCATAGTTGGATCATGTAGACATCATAGCAGGAAGCAGGGATGAGCGTCCAAAACTTGCCTTCCCTGCCAGGGAAGTGGAGTTGGTGTCTGAAAAAAAGTTGGAATAAAACATTTCCTCCTCAGATCATTCCTCCTCACAGAAGATTATTAAAGGGGAAAAAAAAAAATGCTAGAGCTGTATCTGAGACTTAACAGTGTGTACATGGGGAGGGGAGGAACTGCAGCTCTAGTTTGTGAGTAGTTCCAATGGAGAGAGCTGAGAAATACATAGGAGTTGGACTTCCCTTTGTAAGCAAGATGAAAGGCATTACTGTCTACAAAGATGAATATATCATAGGCCAGTGGAGCTACTGAATTTGCAAATATTTTTTGAGTTGATAGAAAAAAAAATCTGGAGATACGTCTTTGTACTTATCTTAGGGGAAGCCCATGGGCAAGCTGCTGGGTGGAGCTGAATCACGGACAGGTTAAACCATGGTAGTGGATCAGAAAATACGTGAAGAAGGACGTAGTCATAGGTATCTGGTAGTTTTTTACATCAGTAGCTCTAGCAAGTCATCAGGTATGATAAAGTGGATGCTCGCTTAAAGACTGTTATGATTATAGCTTGTGTTTTTTCTTAGTATTTCAAGTAGCAAATCGTCAAGACGTGACCTCAAGAACCATAACAGACAGCTCAATGAAGTGTTTCAGACAGTAGAGAATGCACCAGAGAATGCAACATAAGGTCACTTTAATAGCAAATGGTTGAATACCAGTGTTTACCAAAGAAAGGGGAACTCAGACATATCAAAACATAACCATACCACAGTTGGTCAATCTTACTTCCAGTCTGGACATTGAAGGTTCTACCAAAAGAAGCCTCATGAAATGCAGAAGTGGAACATTTTTCAGAAAGTTTTTAGCAGCACCTATCTATCCTTACTTGGTTATCTACAACCCTGGCAGTATTAAAGGCAATGAAAGTAAAAGCAAACATGAAGAAAAGAAGTCAGTTCACTAAGAAAGTTAATTAAAATACCTTGTAAAATTACAAACAGGAAACCTGTAGAGTTTAATAACTTCCTCAAATGACTCACATTTTGTGACTGAGTTGTCATCATTATTATTTCTATAACATAGCTGAAAATGGATCTGTTTTCTTCTTCCAGAGCTTCAGATATGTCCATCCAATATAAACACCAAAGGATGATGAAACTCATAACCAGCCTACATTTCATCATTAATATCCCAGATGAATTTGATGGGCAGGGTCCTCATTTTCTCCTGAAGAACTTCGTCAAACCTTTCACTCTGTGCCACTGTCATGATGTTTTTCCAGTCTCCAACAGTGCCTGAGGAAAGAGGCAGCAAAGGGGAGGTGAGAAGCAGAACATGCACCTCCCTGAAGCCCGCTGCAAACAGTGAGTGCTCGTCTTGGGAAGCAGTTCCTGGCTTCCTCAGCATCTCCCTATCGCTGGCCTGCCAAGTGAGGCTCTGTGTGCTCTTTTGATGACGTGCTTCCAAATCTAGGTGCTGTGAATAAAAGATGGCATAGACCTATAATCCTGGCTCCTCATAAAGTTATTCAACTCATTTGTTCTGCTGTTTTACTGATTCCTTAGAGATCAAGGAGGAAATTATTAAAAGCACCACCTCTTGTTTTTTCTCTCAGTGCACCACTCTTTAATCCCTGGCGGTGTCTTCCTACACTGAGCATCAGGACATCTTAGGAATGCCCAGGAGCCCAGGGACGCCATGTATGGACTTGGAGGGTGGTTGGTTGAGAAGGTCTATGCTCACACCATTAAGGTGGCTCTTGCCTTGAAAAGTAAGAAACAATAAAAAAAAAAAAAAAAAAAAAAAAAAAAAAAGTATTATCTTAACCCTGGCTCGGCACAACCCTTAAATGCTTTCCTGTATCTGACAGGCCTGTTCTAACTTGGTTTACAAGCAGTGAAACATTACCTTTTTATTATCCTCAGGAAAATATGGTAAAATCGCTAATGATCCCTGAGCAACAGACCTGCTCTTACAAATTTAATTTGCCACTAACCTGAACTCTCCTTCTGAAAATGGGGCATTCCAGCTGAGACCAGAAGCCCCAGGTTCATCTCACACCAAGAAGTGTGGGATTAAACAGTTGTTGCATTGGACTGCTTCGACTTTACCTTTTCGTAGAAAGCTGCCCTTGTCTTTTGCTGCCATGCTGTCTGGCAAGTTCTCGTAGTTTGCCCTGGGATCTCTTCTCATGTTCTCAAATGTAGCCTGTCTCACAACACTGTCCAGTTCTTCTTCGCTCAGCTTCTTGCCTAGGAAGTTGCAGATCTTCAGCACAGCGCTTCTGAGATCCTGCAATAATGTTACTTCAAAGAGTCTTGATGATGCAAAAAACTAAATGCATACAGTAGCAGAATACAGGATAATAAAAGACATACATACATTTGGGTGCAAAACTGACCCTAATTTTTATGTGAGCATAGTCTCGCTTGCACCAGTTGAATACTAGAGAGCAGTGATGCTGTAGCTCACTGCAGCAGTGTGCCCTCGGAGACGAGGAATTCTGTGTTCTGCTCCCCATGCTGCAAACCCAGCCTGCATCTTGTGTTAGATGCCCTGGCAAAATCACTGCTGGAATCACACCTGTTGCTGTGAATGTACTCAGCCCTGGGAGGGGTTGTCAGTCTTGTCCTGGCAAGGGACTTGACATGAGCAATCACAGGCTCCAAAGGGCGAGGGACCAGCGCAGTGGCACGTGGCGTGGATTGCGCTGTCGTGGCTGGGGCGCTCGGGGGCTTGCCCATGAGGAGAAGGGCAGCCATCCTGGAGAAACGAGAAGCCGCACAAAGGTGTGGGCTGCCACCAAGCAGGAAACTTCTGGTCAGCAATTTGGGAGCTCCTCAAATACTTTAAAGCCTGCCTCTTCCATACTTCATTCCTATAGCGGAACTGTTCTTATGACCACAGCATTCCTGTTGAAGGCGCTGGCAGAAGTCTTGTTCTGTACTATTTTAGAAAGAGTTTTTTGGGGTAGCAGTTGAAGATAACTTCTGTCATGTTGGAAAGTGTTTTACCTAATGATTGTCCAGGAATTTATAAGACCTTGAACCAGTGAGACAAATTACTTACTTCATCCTCTCAGAAGTCTCAATTTGAATCTACTCCACAAGGGATTAAGCACTTTCCAATATGAAGTGTAATTATAAAGAGCTGTCTGAAAATGCACTCAATATAGGAAGAGAATATCTTGAATACAGTGATACTAATTGACCTCACCTTTTTCATTTCTTCATAGGTAAGGAAGAGTATATTGAAATCCTCTGCATGACTGTACCAGCCTTCAACGTGATCCAGCCACGAACTGGCAAATACTTAGTAAGGGAAATTATTAAAACAAAAAAATAAATATAAATACCATTAACAGCTAGCAGTAAAACAGTAAAATTGTCAGTCATTTAGTCTTTGAAAGGTTTTTTTTAAATAACATTTTTTTATAATTTGAGGGATGCATGCTCACAGTCTTTGCGACAATTCTCCAAGCTAATGTGGCAACTCCCCTTTTGTTTCTAGTAATCTGAACTAATATCGGCAGAAGCAAAAAACTACTCTACCTTTGCTGTACAGTGTCTATCCTTATGGGTTCAGCTCCACTAACCAAGTGCAGAAAGTGTTAAGAGATTTTTCAGTCATAACGGTTACATCCTGAGTCAGCATCCAATTCAGATAGATAAAATAAGCAGCTTGCATGTCATTGGGGAGCAGCAAAGCCGTGACTACGCTACTCCCTTTGGACCAGCTTTCATCAGAAAATGGTGTCAAGCTCAGCCAGCCTCTGCAGCATTGGATTCAGGTTACAGCATAGCTGAGGATTCTGGTGGTTGATATTTATTGATATAATTAATCTCCATTCGATCTGAGGTCATGGAATAGGATTTAGGCTCCTTAGTAAAGAAGACATCCTACCTTTGCCAGCTAAAAATCTCTCCATAAAAAGGTTAAAATCTGGTACTTCCTCTAGTGTGGACATGAATTTGGAGAAGTGGTAGTAAGAAACCATGACATCCTTAGGGTTCCTGGTAACATAAATAATCTGCAAAACAGTAAGAAGACTAGACTCAGAGATATTAAAGGACTCCATTACCCTGACCATCGGTTCATTTTTCCATACAGATCCCACTAAAAATGTGTGAAACTGGTTTGAAGGTGACAGTCACATTAGGTAGATTCTGGATAACAGTGCTGTCGATTTGTTTGTAGGTGGTGATATTCCTGTAGTTGCAGTCGTTCAGTGCCAGCGGCTGACTCTCTTCACGGGCTCAGTGTTACAGGCTTCAGTGATACTGTTCACTTGTGCAAGGCAGTCAGGTCGCATAACAGCACTAGAAAATTGTAAGGTTGATTCAGCTTCACATTTCTGTGAAGTACTCTGTGACCTAAACTGCTGGCCTGTGGTGCTGGTGCCAGAGGCAGCACGCAGGCAAATTTTGAACGACTTGTAAGAGGGAGCCCTGGCATCTTAAAATAAGGAGCTGTTATGAGCAAGGTTTATTTTGGCTCCTGCTGACTCCTGACCACTTGAGAGCTGCTGCCCCAGGCACAGAGCAGGCAGCACCAGTGAGATGGGCAGCCTTCTGCCTCTCGACTGGCGGCATGTCCCAGCTTCTACTAAGTTTCTGTTCCTTAGCACTCAGTGTCTAATTAGGGAGTGAAAATAGAGCCTGACATGTTGCCCTTAGGAGGTTACAAACATTTGCATGGAGAGACAGAATAATCGTGCTCTCAGACTGCCTTTCTAACTGGGTAAAATGACTTCTTTTGATTCCTGCTTAATTGAAAATTTACCCGATTATCTTTAGCAAAACCAAACCATTATTTCCAAAGTGTATAAGACAAGGATTCCTAAACGTGTTGAAGGAAAACTCAATGAATGCCTAATTCGAAAGCTCTGACAATGAAATCACAGAAGTTATTCTGTGGTTTGATACAAAATATGAACAACCTGAGTTACATATTCAAGCAGAGGTGGAAAAGATCCCTCACGAGCAATACTTTGCTGAAGTTGCAACTCTTTCCAAATTTTCTGACATGCATGTGATTTTGGGGCAATTTTCTCAGTCTTTGTTGGGCATCATTTGGGTTTCAAATCTTCTGCATGTGAGCTTTCTCTTCCAAACTTCACTGGTACTGTGAAGAAAGTGGTGAGCATGTTACAGATTCCCATGACACCTGCATCTGTGGAGGAGGTAGCAGCAGCAGGAAGAGCTTGCCTCCACAGCCCCTGTGGGCAGAGCAAAGCCACAGCTCTCCGTTCACTCTGCCATGGGAAGCCCTACATCAGAAATAAGGATGGAAGGGGCAGACGTCATTGGGACCACTGTAAGAAAGACTGGCAGAAGTATGAGATCCTTTGCCAGACAGCGAAGTAACAATTTGCTGTAAGGCAGCTAAGGCAATTCTCGGTGTGCTGTTAGAAGTATACATCCTATATACATCTTCAGACTTGCCTGTCTGTCCATGTTCTGTCAGTGAGCCTTAGTGTGGTTCACCTGTCTGGTTACACCTGTCTCTAAGGAGGCATTTTCCATGGGAGACAGGCCCTGAGCTATGGCGCAGTTCATGATGGAGAGTCCTGTTCAGAAACTCACAGCGCTGGGCAGCAAGAGAAGGCAGTTTTCACATACCCTCTCTACCTACTACAGTCCCATCCTACTCATATTTTCAGTGTGGGGGACTTTTTTTCAAACTTATAACTTCATTGAAATAGGATTTTTTCACAAGGGGAAAATCAGTGCAGATCTTTGACCCTGGCAGATCCTCCTGAGATGCACCACCCCTCTCTCTAACAGGGTTTGGGCTGAAAGATTTGGCAAACAGACACAGAAGAAACAGGCTTTAGAGGGTCCCTGATCTCTCCATGTATACAAAGCAGGTGATATTTATACCAAGACACGGGGAACTGAAAGAGGAAAAAGGTAGGATTTGGACCAATTCACTGAGGCAAATTGGCATGATTGGTTTTAAGGAAATTGTAAAAATAACGTCACTTACACGTCCTCTTTTTTTTCTCAGGTCTCTTGGAACTAAGTAGTGAGGCAGGTGGGTGGCAAAAACACGAGGCAAAGGAAGATTTGCATAATCCTCATCTCCCATTTTATATTCCAGCCATGGGATTCTCTTCATGATCTCCACATTTTCTGTTCCATTACGGTGGCCTTCATGAATTATTAAGCTCAAAATGTTCTGAGTCCACACAGTTCCTGAGGAGAAAACCTTTGTATTTGAATTCTGCTTCATTTTTTTTTTTTTAATTAAAGATAGTATGTGCTCATAAACAGAGCCTCTGCACAGCTACAGTGAGTTTCAACTTTGTGAATATAAATACAACCTCACATACTGAGGAAAGCAAACATTGCCCTGGTGACTGCTGAGTGCAGAAGGGAAGCATGTTTTTGTTTTGTCCTTGCAGAAAAGCCATGGCCAGTAACTAAACCTTCGCTTCCTTCACCCAGTATATTCAACTTCCACACAAACTATGTCCTCACCATCTTGTGGCAACAAGAATTGCTGCATCTTCGTGGGCCACGCACCTGAAAATACCTCGTACCGAGCAGATCTGGAAAAGACCTCTGCCTCCAGAACTCCTGCAAAGTGTTGTGAGATGTTGTGAAACAAACAGCTGGTAACACTACATTTGTAAAGCACAAATGAGCCCCATAAAGCAAATGCTTGTGGCAACAGGCTCTCTAAAGTTCCTTGGGGAAGGTCTGACTCCTGGGACACAGCTGCTGGCAAGGATGATCTAAAAAGGTGGGACCCTGAAGGTGACTGACTGCTGTGCCAGTATGTCTTCGTGTGCCAGCTGGTGATGGTGGGGGCAAATTCTTGGACTATGAGCAGAGCTGTTTAGCTCCAGGTCCCCTGGTCTTCTCAGCACTCTACTAGCGCTGGTTCCTTTCCTCTTTTATACCATAGGCCAGTGAAGACAGACACTTGAGCAAATCCAAATCAATGCCGAAGACGATTGAATTATTGCTGTAGGTTACCCTGAGCAAGCACAGAGAAAGGAAGGCATCTGAAAACGAAGCCTAATTATCCTCACCTAAGCCTAATTAAGACCTCACCTGTGAAGGAAGCTCTTGGTTCTGGAGGTTAGACTGTATGCATGATGTAGATTTAAAGTCACTGGGCAAGAAAAAGAAACAGCCCTAGGATTCAGAGGAACAAAACCCAGTGATTTCACAGCTGTGTTGGCTGTCTTGCACTGCTTGGCATAATCAGCCTGGACAATTCTGCGCAGTGGTAGAAATTCAACAGAAGGATTGGAGGGTACCTTGGATTGATAACTGGTGAGGAAGAAAGAGGATGGTGGGGCAGGATAGAGCAGAAGGTGTAAATGAGAGAGAGGTGACATTCTGTGCAATTCCTCTCAAAATCATCTTCCAACTTTTTCCTGTCCCAGGGTAGCCAGGCAACTTTGCAATATGAAACTCCTACTTCCAAAGACGTGCTATCTCAGTACCATAACTTCTTTATCCCTTAAATATTGCCTTCTCATCCTCCCTCTCTGCCTTACTTGGGCAGCTCACCCCGGTGCTGCCTGACGATGAGCTGGCATGGCCTGGGCTCCCTGTCCCCTCACTCTGTCGCCCACAACCCCTCCACAGGCTTCTTGTATCACGTCTACCTTCATAACCACACCTGGTGCTCCTTGTCACTCCTTCTGGGCTTCCCTCAAGAATGTCTTTCTGCCTCAGGTATTTCACTGAATACCTGAGGGAATAGTGAATTCCAGCAAGATGTTCAGTGACACTAGGAAAACGACGTATGCTAACAAGACATGGGTTATGTTATCTGAAGGCTGTGTCTTGAAGGCTGCTGAATAAAACTAAAGATAAGTAAGTGGCATAGGTTCCTGAGAATGCAAACAGAAGAGGATAGCAGGGACCTTGAAAGTACAAGTACAGATTGGTACCAAACATGTCAAGGCTTTAGTCATAAATCACCGCTTGATGCATGATCAAGTCATTAATTACTAATCACTAAGGAAATGTGTTCTTGAAAAGTGGGTAGGCCAGTTTCAGAGCATAAAGTGAACCTGTATGGAAACATATGGGTCTAGGCATGTCAAGGCTTTAGATTTCATGACAGACAACAGTGAAGCCAGGTAGTTGCTCAGTTGCATTTGCTTCAGAAATAGGAACACAAAATGCAAAATTCATCACACTAGTATCCTGTATTGCTGTGTAGGTAAATAGTACTTCATTATCCTTGAAAGGAGGCATATATCATTGCCTCACATTTGCTCCTGCTTAGTTGCAATTTGGATGCAGCAACCCCCAAACCACCTTCCATGTGAGCCTACAAATCATGTCAGATATCCCACAATCATCTCCAACTCTCATGCACCCAGCCCTACCAAAACTGTATATGTGTTTTGTGAGGCACAGGAGGTCATTTTAGTTTATATGTAGCCTGCTCTGAGTACACCTACAAGATTGACTCCAAGAATGAGGTAGACCAATTTGGTTGGAGACAGGCAGGAACCTTGTGCCTGGCTGTTCAGGCCCATGGCTATGCAGGGGGTAGTACTTCATGCTACACTGCATATACTCAGAGATGGTTCAGGTCTAAAGGCAAAGCCAGCAACCCCAGGTACTTCTGCAGTTAGATGGCTGAATAAAGGCAGATTTTCCCCTGCTTCAGAAACAATTCCAGTCTTACCTGATTTTGGGTAAGTAGCTATAAATGTGTCGCTGTCTTTGATTTCAAAATCCTCCAGGGAAGCTACATACTCAAGAGAAGTATAACTTGCAACAAAATAAAACCCTTTGTATTTTAACAGATATTCTTTTGATGGTTCCATTGTTAATCTGTTGCCCTTATAGGCAAATAACCTGCAAAAAGAAAATATAAAGTTATATCTCTTTCTTTGGTTGTCATCTCACAGAAACAAACAAACAAGCAAATGAGTAATTCAAACAAAGAATCCAGTGCTGGAAAATTTTAGCAAAATGCATTTCAGGAAAATTCTGGAAACTATACACTTGAAATTTAGCTTTAGAAGCTTAACTTTAGACTTTCACAAGAACATCACTCAGGATATATTTCTAATGAAAAAAAAAGAAAGAGCAATACTCTTTACCCATATACAAGTGTATGCTATGTGAATGTAAGAACTAATGTAAGTGAAGACAACCTATGTAAAAATCATTTGTCGAGATCCCTCTAGGATCTGAGTGAGTGTAGAGTTTTCTTTGGGATGTCAGTAGCTCTTGAACAGAGCTAGCTTAACTACCACGCTCTCATTCTGAATTTTGTGGCTGAAAATTCTGTTCAGAATGTCTTACTACAATTTTTCCTCCTTCTACTTATTCTCTGTCTCATTACTAATGTTATACAACTAGGGTGGGTAATCATGAATGTGTGTTGTTTTCTTAAACATGCCTACCAGTTTTATGAGATGTTGTCTTGTGGCTCATTAACACCATTGCCATATATTTGCCAGAAAAAGACATTAATCATCGCTGTTGGTGTGACCAAGGAAGAGCAAACGCTTGGGGAGATACAGGAAAGTAACAGAGAGCCTGAAGAGAGAGGCTGACCTTGTAGCTGAGCCAGAGCCAAATGGAGCATCTACGTTTGAAGGTTTTGGTCTGTGTCTCTTCTGCACTCTTTAAGCTGAACGATACATCCATGGATTTCAGTGAGCTTAACACCCCTTTCTCCCCCTCCCTGCTCTGCAGATGAACTATTTATTAAGACGTTACATTAGACAATGTACAAACCTTGGCAGAAATCACATAAGCAAGTTCACTTCCAGACTTGGGTAACACAAACGTTGTCTTATGTGGGTTAAAATATATTTGGAAAGAGAGACTTTCCTATGTGGAATTTCATCTGGGTCCCCTGCTTTCTCCTTGCAATGTGACCATTCCCATGCCCTCTTGGCCTGCTGTGCTTGCCATTGCTTCACCGTTGGGGTATCACTTTTGCCCAGATTTGTCAAATCAGCCCACTGTGCAAGGCATACCGGCCGAGCGATCCGAATTCACCACAAGAGGCCATCCTTGGAAATGAGGCCTCCAATCCCACCTCTCATCCTTAGCTTCTCTCCAGCTCTGCTTCCCCTTGGCCTTCCTGGTCTGTGAACTCCCCGCGAGCCTGGCCCTGCGCCGCCGCACTGCTGCCTTTGGTGGGAGCACTGCCCTTCAAGCCGCGCGGCCCAGGACGAGGACGAGGATGAGGAGGATGAGGATGAGGATGAGCGAGGACGAGGCAGTGCCCTCCCACCCCAAGCCCCCGGGGATCTCCGGTGGTGTGGCTGCTCAGGCTGCCTGGCAGGGCAGGGGAAGGGGCGCAGCGGCCACTGCCACGACCAGGGGCACCCGCTGCCCACCCTGCCCGGGCAGACTGGGCCACGTTACCTCCAGTGGATGCAGGAGGGAGGGCACAGGGGTGTCCCTCAGATGCGGCACAGGCTGTGGCAGGCCCTGATCTAAACAACTCCTTGGGCATGCAGTGCTACCAAGTCTTAAGACAAACACACACCTTAGTTTTCTGAGTTTAATCAAATTTACCTTCTTCTATTAACACCTGCATTCGGTATCGTTAGACAACAAAAAAAACTCCTTCGACTGTGGCCTGGGCCATGGCTGGGGCCGGGAGGGGAGCGAGGGGAGCGAGGGGAGGGAGGGGGGCTGGTGCTGCATGCGACGCGGGGCTGCCTGCCTCAGCTCACGGCGACAGGCGCCCACCCGCCTCAAAGCCTGCAAGGTGCTTCATCCAGCCTGACGGCGAAGCCCGCGTTTCGCTGACTGAAAACAACCCCCAGCAAAACGGAGCTCTAAACAGGGAAAACCCCCACTTCTAGAAACCAAGGAACCGGTACACTTTAAAATTCAAGCTGTGATAACAAAGCTAGGGAAGTCCTAAGAATGCAAAGGTATGGAACATGAGTGAAAAATGTTGCTGGTAATGGAGAAAGAGCAAGGAATTTGTGGGGAAAAAAAAGGCAGCACATTCAATGCACAGATACAGAGTGCACCTTCTTGACCTCATTCTGTCAAAACTGTGAGTTTTTAGATCACTTTTGGACAAAGGTTATTGCACTGCTTGTTTCTTACAGATGTATGAATATACCATGAAAAAAAGCCTTGCCCTGTTTTCCTGGAAAGCCTATTCAAGATCTAGTGTATATGACAGGAGAAAAAATAAACATTCAGGTGTGCTCATACCAGCCAGCCACACAGCTCAAAAATCTGTCTCCAAATGCAGGCACAAAGCCAGTTAAACTCCTAAATCCGCAGTGACCGCACACTTTTACTCTATTTATTTAATTATTTCACAGCTATGACTCCATTTTCTTGAGTTGAGTGATACAGAAAAGCCCACATGGGACTCCAGTTTTCATACCAGCACCAAGATGACCCTGCTCTGGGCAGCCGTCCTCCTGCCCAACAGGGACCAGCTCTAGCCCCTAGTTCTCTGCAACTCTTTCTGGCAGCGCATGCCAAAACGCCTGTTAAGAGAGGTCTATGTTCGATCATTATTATTTTATTGAGAGGGTGATAGAGCATCATTTCACTCACGGATCTTCTGTTCTAATCATTTCAGGCATACTTACCTCCGCTGCGCTCTGTTCGGTGCCCACGGAGACGTATACTACTACTTCTCAGCTGGGTGAATGCGAGTAATTCTAGAGACATGTGAGCTGTCACGCTTCCTTTTAACTGAGATGTGAACCCGTGGACACTGTGCTGGTTGGCTTGCTTTCAATATTTGCTTATCTTTAACACAGACAGTGATTAGAGGACTAATATAACTCAGGATAAAAGTGAAAGCAACCAGGAAGATTTTTGAAGTTATTTAAATGCTCATTTTGATTTCTGTTCCTCCTTTTTTTATCAACAGCATTATTGAGGAAGATTGGAGAGGAGCAGAGGTGAATAAAATCTTTTCCTTTTTGCTAGATTTTGGGGTTTTTTTCTCAGCTTTCACTGAACTTTTGCCCAAATTGGTTTTTATCTCCAAGCTATGTGTGACAATAGTCCCAAAGAATAGCCTGAATCCACTGCTCCACCAAAGTGGTTGATCAGACCGGTCCAGCATGGTCTCAGCCACGAGGCTGGAATGAGGTACTTGGGTTAATCACGTCTATGTGTTCACGTTAAGTTTTTCTGTGAGGTATTTTATAAGTGAAATAAAATAATGCCCGAGACATTTCTCAATGAAACCTGCACTCCAACATCACAAAGAAGAATATTTTGTTCCCCAGTTCTGTGTTGTATTTTGTACGGGATTACTTTTTAACCTGGGTCAGTTCCTGAGGTAGTCTCCGAACTTGCACAACCAATCAGTCAGGTTGGTCAGAATGTGAATGAGCCAGAAAGAGGAGCAGGGCTGTGGATTTTTTTCACCACAGAGGAAACACAGTTTTGCTGTGATTAAGATCACTGAGATTAAGCCTGTTCTGCTTTGCTTTCTGCTCCAGTCAGGCATGTCTCTAGTATTTTGTAACTGAAATTTCTATTCTAAGTGTTTAATAATAATGAAAGACAGTATTTATTGATCCGAAAACCAGACAGGGAGGTGCCCCACCGGATGTTCCAGTCCCTGCCACATCACTCTGAAGAATCCAAAGAGTAAAAGCGATGGCCCCACCACATCAGCTTCGTGAACTAGCTGGAGAGCCAACGAGGTGTGAGTTGGGGCAAGAAGCGGTATTTTCCAGTGAAAAGAAATAGAGAGTAAAGGCATTTGGCCTTTGAGCAGATAGTGAGTGGGGAAAACACATGAATCCTAAGGATATTCTGAAACGTCAGCATCCTAAAGCTAGGATTTGTCCCTGCTTGTCAGTAACACTGAATTACAGTCTATCTGCAGTTAATTGAACATAGGTTTCGTGTTCATATCTTTTTCACGGTAAATAGTCCACTGCAATATTAATAATTAACCTTGGGATCCAAATACCTAACATATACTGTAGGTGCAATTGCATAAAGTTCAGTGGGCGACTGGGAAAGGAAATGTATGGTTTACTGCATAATTTAAACAAAATCAATGTTCTCGGTGCTATTAGCATCCCATGTCCTTCTCTGGTTGTTTCCTCTGGTACTTCGCACCAATACATTTCTGTACATACTAATCAGAGTTCTTTCAAAAGCCTCTACAGTGGCAGCAAACCGGCGTAGCTCTGAAGTTCCCCATACAGACAATGGAAAAGTCTCCTGCCCACCTATACTGTAAAATTAAAATGTAAAGTAAATGCCTGAATTAGGCACATGGAATCCCACAATAAGTTTCATATAAGTTACTGCAAAATATATGTAACACATCATAGCAAACAAGGGCAATCTAAATTAGACCACTGCAGCACTCATTTTAGGAATCTGCGTAGGAACAGATCGTTGCCCACAAACTGAGGGGAAAAAGAAAAAAGTAAAAGGTTTGTAAGGCATTTTTTTATTTTAGACACGCCTCGGGTATTATTACATACCAATAACGTGTAGTATTGGCTTTTATTGCACAAAACCCATGCCAAAGATATGTGATGCCTGAGTTACTAGAGAAGCTTCTCAGAAGTCAGCATTACCGAAGGGCCACAGTGAGTGCGGAAGGCTAAGTGTAGCCATTCCTCATGAATACCGTGTCTGCTCCCTCCTACAGGATTTCTGTCACCGGCATACTCTGTCTCCCTCTCTCTTTCACTCCTGTAATTCACAACTGAACGTGTTTTACCTGTGTGTCTTCCAACCAAGTTCCCAAGTTCAGAAAAGTGGCAGGGAGATTTTAGGTTACCAAAACAATTCTAAAATGGGTTTGTCTTTGGAAGATGAGGTGTTTGGACAGTTTTGTTTGTCTATCCTCCCT